AAAAAAAAATAAAAGTATTCCTAAGTGCTACTTTCTCTCTTTCACATTAACCTTTTTATGCTTTAGACGTAGAAAATTATACATATCTTACAAAATCTAACGTCTTATCATCAAAATATAGTATATGCCTTGCAGATATTTTTGTTTTCCTTTGGATAAGAACGCCTTGGAGAGATTTTTAAGAATGGCTTTTTTCTTGAAATGTTAAAAACTAAGAAGAGTACCGCTGGTTGGGTCGTATTTTTTGATTAGTCGAAGGGAGATATATAGTACATCAAGAGAAGGAAAAATAGAGCTAGATCATTGGTGTGATATCAATTTATAAGATAAATAGTTGAATGTACTTTAGTGTCTCTTTTGGTTTAATGCACGACATCTTTATCAATTGTCATCATCTTAAGTTAAAATGTATGACCATATCTTATAAGATCTTGAATACGTACTTGGCCTACTTGTCTTCTACATAGTACATACCCTCTTCTACCTAATATTTGATTGTAAGTTAACTACTAACTCCTTATTTTGTACGTAATCTAAAGCAATTCAAAACATCATAGTCAAAAGTCGTACATAATTTATATAGACCACCTACAAATTTGCTTGAAATGCTTCGAAGATCAAGCTAGAGATACGACTTTTAAAAGCATATAAAATAAGCTTGTTATGACCAAACAGAATATTAATGCTATGTTTAGTTTTTCTAATTGAATCACCTTTGTGTCCATCCCCTACTTACCGGTCAAATTGCTTCGTTTGGACCAAAAAGCAGAAAGAGTTTTGGTCAGACATGGTCTCTTACATCGGACGAACCCTAAGATAACCAAAATCAACTCTAACTTTTTTCCTAAACACTGTTTATTTTATCCATTTATGTTTTCTTCAGATTTTATTTGTTTCTGGTGTCTGAATCTCTGATACTCTCATACCAAACTAAAGTTATCAATTTTTATAGAAGTAGTTTAACTTCAGTTACAAAATACAATTTATACTGGGAAAAAAAGTGAGCAAATCTAGCAGTAACAATTTAGATATGATCACAACATAAATAAATCACAAAAGGGGTGTGTATTTACTTTACATTTTTCACCAAACAGAAGGGTAGTTCCGTAAGTCGTACGAGGCTTCACCTAGTTAAGGTTGGGTCACATGATTCCCTGAACTCGATTAGAGAAGTAAAAAAGAACAAATGAAAATTCAGGTGGATTTATCAAATCTTACCATCTAGGTATCGACACGTGTCCCAAATCATTCATTGCCCTACTCTTTTCAGCTTAGGGTTGCCATCACTCTTCTTCTCGTATCAATTCTCCACCGTTGATTTAGTTAAGCTTTCATTTTCAAAATCACTATTTTCTTCGGAAGTATCCGATTAAATATCTCTGTCTCTCTCAACATATTTAATTTCAAACCATGATAAAATATTCAGTTTAATGGTTTTAAATGTTAGGGTTTTCACGTAGGTATTAATCCCCCAATATAAATCGTGATCAAAGTAAAAAAAAAAAAAGCAAGCAATATTCTTTAACTGGCCCAATAACCATAATTGTCTAAACAAAAGATTAAACTGAAACTACTACTAGTGTTTGGTAAGAGAAGTGGAACTGATCTTTCTCTTCCTTTACCAATTATGTATAAACAAAAGAATCTCAATTTTCAAGGTATGAAAGAAACTAAGCATTGATAGAGTAATTAACGTTTATGTTTTGTAATATTTGCACAAATCCTATGTAGTGGTTTGTAAGTTGTAACTTGTAAGTTGTACACGTACAATAATTGAGGCGGTATATAGTTTGAAGTGAGAGTGTACATATTTAGAAAGAAAATATTTATGAAAGATTTCAAAGTAATGAAGCTGACATGTCGATGTACTTGAGAGAAGTGTTGTGCGAGATATGTAGATACATTGTACCAAGGTATACATGTACACATTAAAAAGGTTAGAAACTATGAGAAAAAATAGAAAGAAATAAAAAGGGGAGAGAGAGAGGCTCATTCATATATATAAAGGATACTGAAGGGGGGGAGAGAGAGTAAAAGAGAGTAAAGAAAATGGGAAGAGGGAGAGTAGAGTTGAAGAGGATAGAGAACAAGATCAATAGGCAAGTGACGTTTGCAAAGAGAAGGAATGGTCTTTTGAAGAAAGCATACGAGCTTTCTGTTCTATGTGATGCAGAGGTTGCTCTCATCATCTTCTCTAATAGAGGAAAGCTGTACGAGTTTTGCAGTAGTTCGAGGTATTCTATATACCCATTTTTATCTATTGATATGATAATTATATAATCGAACACAAAAGAAGATATATATATATGTTGTATGGGTCTCTGATGTGTTGTTGGTGTCGTACGTTTTTCTTTCATCCTTTCAAAGAAAAGCAAAGAGGAATGACTACCCATTTCTGATCATTTTAAGAGATCAATAAATAGCTTTTTTCTTATGTTTTAGAGTTTCTGATGATTTCCATTTTTGCTTTGCTGATGTATTATATTTCTATACTTTTTCCCATCTTATATATCAAAGTTCGGTTGCAGGATCCTAATTAAGCCCTTTTTGCTTGCCTTTTCTTGGAATTTCTGCATAATTTACTTGAACCATGAGTTTGTACCTTAGAAGGGCCATTTGATCTTTTATGAAATTAGGGTTAATTATCTTGTATCTAGTAAACATTAGTGAATTAGGGTTAATTTTCTCTGGATTAATTTCCTCTGGATTAATTACCTTACAGTTAACTAAGAGTATTCACCTTTTAATTCTTCCTATCCAGTCAAATCACTAATCAATTTTGCAGAAGTTCTTGTGGTTGATTCATTTAGATAGAGCGACCCACTTTAATCTATATAGTTTTGGTTTGAAATTCAAATTCATCTTATATCCATTGGATCTTTATACTTCAGATTCATCACTCATTCTATTTTTTGGGTTTATTTTTTCTTTCTAGTTTTTAGATTCTTTAGATCTTCTCTGAAAAGACTCCCAGTTTTTCTGTAAAACGCTGGGAAACCTTTTTAAAACCACAATTTTCATTTTATTTATTTATTTGAAAACTTGATTTTGTGAAAATAACAAAGTTTACTGGATACGTTTGACTAACAAATGAGAGTTATTTTGTTTTTGTGACGCAGCATGATTCGGACACTGGACAGGTACCAAAAGTGCAACTACGGAGCTCCAGAGCCCAATGTTCCTTCAAGAGAGGCCTTAGCAGTTGTACCCCCTTCCTCTTTCTTAATTTTTACCTTACTTCCATTTGTTTCTGTTTAATTAATAACATTTTGATTGCTTTAATTGATTCAAAATCCACTAATGTTAATTTATTTATTTGGCAAAGCAGGAACTTAGTAGCCAGCAGGAGTATCTCAAGCTTAAGGAGCGTTACGAAGCCTTACAGAGAACCCAAAGGTAAAACTAATGACTATTTAAGCTAGAGAGTGTTTTTAGTTATACAGAATTTAATTATAATGGTACTATTTGTATGTTTTGAAATTTATTAGGAATTTATTGGGAGAAGATCTTGGACCTCTTAGTACAAAGGAGCTTGAGTCACTTGAGAGACAGCTTGATTCTTCTTTGAAGCAGATCAGAGCTCTCCGGGTACTATACTTCTTCCACTTCCCTCATCATATATATGCTACTATATAGTATATACACACACACAATATGATGTCCATATTAGTAAGATGTTATATCAAACTTGCAGACACAGTTCATGCTTGACCAGCTCAATGATCTCCAGAGTAAGGTAACTAAAACAAAATTTGAATGATGAAGCAAATGAAATATCTACACTTATAAAACTAGCTAGCTCACTCTTCTACACATGAATATTTGGGACAGGAACGCATGCTGACCGATACAAATAAAACTCTAAGGCTAAGGGTAATTAATATACTACATTTTATTCACAATAAGTCAATATAACACGCATTGGTTTGGTCGTTAATTTGAAGTATAACAAGTGTGTTCGGTGACAGTTAGCTGATGGATATCAGATGCCACTCCAACTCAACCCAATGAACCTAGACGATCAGCATCATCATGTTGACTACGGTCGTCATCAACAACAAGAACACTCGCATCAAGTTTTTTTCCAGCCTTTGGAATGCGAACCCATCCTTCAAATGGGGTAACTAATTAACTCTTTTATATATATAATTATTAACCAATTTTGGTCTCCTTCATTTGTTGTGTAAATAAACATCCTTTTAGCATCTTAGATCCCTTTTTTTCTGTAACGATGGAGCAGGTATCAGGGGCAGCAAGATCATGGAATGGGAGCAGGACCAAGTGCGAATAATTACATGTTGGGTTGGTTACCTTATGACACCAACTCTATTTGAAAACTTTCTTCATTTTTTGTTTTTAGTTTTTGACATTTTCTTACTCTACATTCTGTCTTGTGTGCATGTGTGTGTGTGATGTTTATTTCGTCCTTCTACAATTTCAATAACTTTTTAAACCAAATTTACTACTTCTCATATAGTTTGGCCATTAGTCCTATAGTCTCGCACTAAAATCTTGAGTAAATGCAGTTTATATATATGACATAGTTCAAGTTTGTTTTACAGTATATGCTTCTAGTTCCAAAATCTTGTTTAACTGATACTTTATGTTTTGTAATGCTTTATATTAATTATAAACAAACCATCTATTATATAAAGAAGAGCATCCTTCCTTCTTAGCCATGCCACGTCAGTGCTAGGCTGGAAAGGCCACGTCAGCAACCGGTTTGGGCCAAATCCGTCTGGGCTTCAGTTGTTATTTTTTTTTTGTAAGGCCCTGTTGTCTTCTTTCTCACAGAATTAGACGACGACTATTGGTGTCCTCCTCTCCAGATTTCTGAAACCAAGACCGCGAAGAGCTCGATCAATCCCGCAAATCAGAATCAACAACCACCACCACCGCTCCTCCGTCCTCAACATCCTCCCTCCTCCAACAACTCATCGACCCATCAAAACACCAAAACCCTTCTTCCAAATCCGACAGAATCGGCCTCCTGAACCTCAATGGAAGTTGAAGTCAAGCTCCGTCTCCTCACCGCCGCCGCTCACCCCCGCCTCACCACTCTCCTCACTCCCTTCCACCTCAAAACCCTCCACCAACGCAACCTCTTCTTTGATACTCCCACCAACGATCTCTTCCTCCGCCGCGCCGTCCTCCGCCTCTGTTTCCTCCATAACGCTACTCCTCCTCCGCCACAGCGTTGTGTCCTCTCTCTCAAGGAGAAGCCGACGCTTGCTAACGGGATCAGCCGCGTGGAGAAAGATGAGGAGGAGATTGATGCGGGGTTAGCTCAAGAATGTGTGGATTTTTCGTCTAGGTTATCGGCTCTTGGGTCTAGGGTTTTGAGAAGGATTAGGGAGGAGTATGGGTTTAAGGATTTTGGAGGGTTTGTTTGTTTAGGTGGGTTCGATAATGTGATGAATGTGTATGAGTGGAGAGGTGTGCAGCTTGAGGTTGATGAGACTAAGTTTGCTTTTGGGCATTGCTATTAGATTGAGTGTGAGACTGAAGAACCGGAACGTGTTAAGACAATGATTGAGGAGTTTCTTGTGTTAAACAAAGTTGAGTTTAAGGATTCAGATATGACGAAATTTGCAGTTTTCCGGTCGGGGAAGCTTCCTTAACAGATGGATTGAATCGTATTCTCTCTTCTTCTCTACTCAGTTGTTTTCTCCAGCTCTTTCTTTATGTTCTCTTATGGTTTTGTTTACTGAACGTTTCAACATCCATATGAGCAACTTAGCATATAATTGGGTTTAGCTCCAAGACATATCAAGTTTTGCTTTCAGAACCAAGAACACAGGTGAAGGTTTTCAAATTTTTACTTTCTCTCTTCTCGCCTTTTCTCTTCTCCAAAACAAAATGTCCTTAGTTCTGCTTTTCCATCGTTTGTTCTTGTAGGCATAACTCAAGAGAGCTGATAATTGTGCACTCAAGGAAGAGAATTATAGGATTTGTTATGAAAACAATGCCATTAGAGAAGCTCCAAACACACAACCAAACCTCTTGCTCATGAACAGAAATGTTTAGAGAAGAGTGATGTGAACATGATTTTCAAATTTAGTTGGATGATAGCCATCACAGCAGAGATCGAGATGAGAGGGTAGTTAAGAAAGACAATGACGGATGCGGTGGCGGAAATTCTGGTAGCGCCATGTTCAAGCGGTGGTTTGTGGTGAGGTGAGGTGAGGAGACAAGAGGGATGATAAGGGAGATTGAGCATGTTGTCTAGAAGTAGATTACTGCTATCAGAAGTGCTCTGACAATGTAAACCAGTAAGTTCTTTTCTGAGTTGATTTCTGTTAAAGCTTCTTAGATGGTTTTAAGGGCTTGCTGAAGTAGAGCACCATTATGCAAAACCATCGACCTCTGATTCATTGTATTTCCATAAACTATGCAAAACTATTGTTCAATTGTTTAAAAAGCTCATGGACCACAAGGTCTTATTATTCATACACCTTATCAATTGCTTGCAACGTTTAATCTTAGGTACTGATTTTGATTTTTCAAGGGTATCTTACATGAGCATCACTTCCTCTTTCTACTTCCTCTGCTGGCCATCCTTCAATCCCCTGAAACCCATAAACATCAACTCCATGAGTGAAGATTGTTTTTACATTCTTTTACAAATAAGGTAGAAAGATGATAATCAAGTTTTTAATATGATATTAGAAGTTATATTTTTTTTTTCTGCTGTTAGTTTGATACATTGCTTTTTAGATTCTGGTTGTTATATAATTTTTATGAATTCGTCTCTCTTACATGGCCTAAACTGTGGTAGAAGAAAGGAAAGCAATTATATTAAAGCAAGAGGAACTAAGTCACCTTTCTCACTTTAGCACGAATAAATACCCACTATAGTAAATATTTAATGTTATATAAATATTTCATGTAAAGTTGGAGGTTGGATGACCGAGGGTGAGCAGAGTGTTTATGAGAAAACAAAAGAAAAAAGAGAGACTATAAGCTATTAGGTACACAATTAACATATTTAAGAACACTTGAGTAAGCATAAAAATAGAACGTAAGATAAAGCTTTGCTCTTCTAGGTTGAGTACAATAAACATAAAAATAATGATCATGCAAGCTTATAGCAAGTCTATTTCGTCGATTATTTGAGAAACAAAACTCCAATTATATATCATGTCATCTAAAGATAACTATACTATAGATTTTTAACCATGATGCAAAAAAAATTTTATTTTGCTAATAATTATTTTAAGAGACTCTTATTTTGATCACCAATCCATTGTGAGAAAAATAACAGTTTTATACCAAAAATAGATGATGTTTTCCATTCGATTATTCAGTCGAACTTATTTTCATGATAAAGCATATATTATTCCAACATATATGTATATAACTTTTCAATTTACATAGTTTTAGGGATATCTAAACCCACAAAATCGGATACTGAATGTCGACCCCTTTATTAAGCACTTAGACATATCAGAAAAATAATTTACATTATTTAACTGCTCTTAAAAATATAAATCAAAATCATACTAAAATTTTTGTCACAACTATGGAAATATCTTTAACAAAAATATATTCTAAGAACCTAATTACTGTAAGTAATATGAAAGCAATTGTATAAAATATGAATAAGATTGTAAAGAGTATAAAATAATTGCAAACTATTGTAAAAAATAGTATCAAAGAAATAACTTGACACTTAAAACCGTTCAACACAAACATAACAAAAAGCATCAAAACAAATGATCTGATAATTTGTCAACTCTCATTCTTTATCTTTAAGATTTAATATCATGGTCAGTCAATCATAATCCGTTACCAAAGTCACATATCTACAGTCCAAAACTATTCACACAAATACGTAAAACTCACAATCCAATCTTTTCAAACCCAAAATATTACAAACCATATATAATGCATCAAATATATGATCAAAATATTTTAAAAGGAAACAACATGTCCTTAAAATATATCAATGTCATAAACTTTTCATATATAAATAATGATTATAAACAAGCCAAATATATCTTATCACATATAATCATTTATCACCTAAAACCTTCCAAAATACAAAAATCGTTACCATATACAACTCTTACAAATGCAAATATAAAACATAAATCACAAAATCTTAAATAATAATAATTTAGATCACAAGTAAAACATATCCCGCCCGTAGGGCGGGCCGACCCTAGTTAACTATATATAGTGGATTGCGTATATGATTATAAATAACACACTGACACTAGCTTCTTCTTTTTGTGCACCCACATTGACACCAGCTATATGCTATAATCCTTTTAGAGGTTCTTGTGTGTTGTATTCAAATGACAGAAAAGAAGTAACCTGATATCTCTCTGCTACGGAGAAACCCATCGGTTATTTTATGTCAGGCCCAGACCTTATATTCTCTTGGGCTATCTCTACGTTTTATATAGAGACAATGAAAGAATTAAAATTCTATGTACCCTGTCAAACTTTAACTGAACCGACCTCTGGTAACCGCAAGTGAGAGTGCAAACTGAATATGCTCAGAGAATTAACCAAGTCACATGCAAAAATTTAATGCAAGTTTGTTGGTGAGTGAATGAAGGCTTTTTCATATATATAACATACGATTTTATAGTTTCTTTATTGTTAACCATAGTTATTAATATGGAAAAATTGCTAATATATTTAGTAGCAAAAAAGGATTAATAACAACTAATTAGTTGATCATTCACCTAAATTTTCACACTTACCCCTTCTCAAACCTCCCTTTTCACCATAAACAACTCATACAAAAAAAAGACTCATTGAAGTCAAATAACAAACAAATAATACTATATAAGCGGTAAAGAAAAATTTAAGTAGAAGATGAGTTAAAAGAGACACATGCTGTGTTCAATGTGAAGATTCAAAAGAATCAGCTATATCTTTTTTGAATGTCCATAAGCGTTACAAGTTTGGGCACTATCTCAGATCCCATCAAATCTATATATTTTTTCAACACGATCATTCTTCACGAATATGGATCATCTGTTTTGGAGAATGGTTCCACAGATGGATGATCATCAATTTTCTTGAATTTTATGGTATGGAAAGAGAGGAATAACAAAACTTTTAGTAACATAGATGTAGATCTTAGAGATACTCTCAAACTAGCAGAAACAAAATCATTACTATGGGTTGAGGCACAATTGACACTCACCAAAGGACAGTCCCAAGCGGAGGGAACGAGGCAACAACCTAACCACATATCCCCAAAAAATGGTGTTTTATAAATGGATCATGGAAGGAAAAAGATTCACATTCGAGACAAGGCGGGTATAACACTCTCGAGGGTTTTGATGGTCTAATAAAGGCACGAAATACTCGTGCTAGTCTTTCACCACTTCATTTTGAAGTGGAGGCACTTATATGGGTAATGGAGTCCATAAAGAATTTACGCCAATATCACGTTACATTTGCAATAGATTGTTCTCAATTGGTGAATATGGTTTCGGAACAAGAAAAAATGGCCAGTTTTTGCAAGTTACTTAAAAGACATCAAGATCCTTAAAGGTAGTTTTCACTCCTCTGAGCTTCTATATGTACCTCGAACGATGAATTCAAGAGCGGATAGCCTTGCACGTAGTGCTAGGAAAAAACCGACCTTCGTCGTTGATATATGGTGTTTTTGACATCTTGTATTTATGTTTTCTGAAGTGTTTTCAAGTCTTTCTCGTCCTTTTTGAGTCATTACAGGTCTGGAGTAGGTAAGGAGAGCTTTGGAGAGACACATGTAGAAAATAATGAAAATTGAAAGTTTTCTGTTACAGAGCACCCAAATGGAGGAACCTCTGATTGCTTCCGAAAATTATGGAAACTTCTGATTAATTTTTGATTTTTTCCTAGTCTTTCTATTTTCTTCTCCCAACTGCCTGTGGCATACATGGATATTCTATTCTGGTTTCTCCTTGACAGACTACGCTTCTTAGAAAGGAGAAAAAACTCTAGAGATTTGGAGATTGTGATTTTGCTACTTTGTAAAGGGAGAAGACTCCATCTCTCTCGCCATAGAGAAGATTATCATGAATCCTATTCTTATTCTATTGAATCGCATGATGTTTTATTCAGTCTATGTTTCTATGTTTTATCTTGTTATGACTGAGTAGTCGATCTTGTTAGCGTAGGGTTCTAGGGTGTTGATTCAGAACTTAACAAGATAAGCGTCATCTTTTGTCTTCGTTTATGACTGCTCTTAATGCTTATAATAATCTAATCACTTAGTGTTTGAATCTAGGTTTAACTTTTCATCATTAACCATGAATTAGGTTGCTAGATCTGTTATAAACGAGCATCATATCCCTGATCAGCGAGAATAGATATCAGAGTATTTTGTGAGCATATTAGATCAATGTTTATTGTTTGCTGTCGGTCCTTGATCCAAGCGAGAGCATAGGTGTTAAGGTCTCTCCGCAAATGGAGCATACCTGCGAGAATATGGTGTTCTAGTTAAGAAATCCGAGTTCTAGGCTGTACTTAAAGAGCTTGAATAATTGTATGGTTCATCATGTTAACACCCAATGAAGCACCCAAGGCAAGCATTCTTGATCATCTGAAAACCAATCAAATTTGTTACTTACTTGTTTTATTTTCTTTACTTTAAAAATCATTACATTGTCTT